ACAGGGAGGTCTTCACAAGGTTCTGACAGTGGAAGGAGATCCCCCACTTGCCAGCATGTTCTGCAGGGCCACAATGACTGAGTCTTCTCACAGGAACATTTTGGAAATGCACCGGTCCTTGTTGACCAGATTGGACTGCTTGCCCTGTTTTTCCCTTACTTGTCTGGCTAATTGTTGCTCATCCTTGAACTTTTTCATGGTGGCACTTTTTCAGCAATTACAATTAGACAGCAATGTCTATCAATCCCAGCTGTGTCCGTCTGGTTTGTCTACTACACTCTGTACACCATGTTCCAGGAGCAGAAGCACTCCAGATGTGTAGAAGGGCCAAGCAGAACTTACAGCAGTTATCAGCCTTCAGAAAAAGAGTGTCCCGTGCCAAATCTGTTACCTCTGCAATTGCAAAGGCAGGACATGTCCTGTGCAAGGCAGGGCTTCTTAGGCTCCTTTGCTTCCAAGGTTTCAGAATGACCCATGGCAGGGCCTGCCAGTTATCTGGGGGAGGAAAACAGACTATGTGATCTCACAGGACCCCGCCATTAAAGAGCAGGCTTGAGGCAAACAAGAGAAGGGGAGCTAGATGCCTTTTCCCCGGGGGAAGTCATAAGTCCCTGGAGATACTGATCTGTGGCTGGAGACTGTCCATCTGCAAATGATGTAATAGTGCTCTCAGAGGTCCAAAAGTCCAAGCATAGTTCAGGCTTTCTCAGCAGGAGGGAACGTTTTATCAAAGATCAGGCCTAGTATTTTTTACTGGACTCTTCATTCTGGTTTGCTGCCAAATGTTCTTAAGGTTATTTGAATTGATTTGTATGGTTGTTCCTCCCCACCCCACATCATTGCTCCATCCCTAAGTACCTTCCAAGCAATGTAATATATAGCAAAGTACCACAGACACAGATTTTAAAGTTTGGCAACATTGAGCTAAACACATGGAACTGCCAAGCTGCGCGAGCACACACACACACACACACACACACACACACACACACACACACACACACACACAAATAAATAAATAAATAAATGTAATTTTTAGGTAAAGCCTTAGAATAGAAATTTAGAAGATCATATAAAGATGAATGTGTAAAAGCAATCCTCTTCAATGGAATTAATACCATGGTCTGAAAACGGTGTGAACAGGCTGCTGTTCACACCGGTGGGTTGTAAATGACGTGCCATTTGCTCTGCTGCACTTGTAGACAGAGCAGCAGTTCCCAAAGTATGGTTCCTGGACCTACAGGGCCTGTACCATCTGACACTTGGAAATACAGGTTCCTGGGCTCTGCCTCAGACCTACCGGCTCAGTAGCTCTGGATTGGAGCCAGCTAGTTTTAACCAGTTCTTCAGGTAGGTCTAACACACATAACTCCTAAGCATCACTGAAAACGAGGACCCAAAGTGACAAGAGGCAGGAGACAGCAGAGCAGTGATCCCACAAAGCAATGGTGAGTGAGCTTGCCCTGGGAAACGAAGCTACAGCCAAAACACCAAATCCAGAACCAATGGACACTGCACTTGCAAATAACAGCACTGGATGGATCCTGGTCACGGAAGAAGGAACTCTAAAAGGTGTGAGTAAGCAATTAATAAGAAAAGGGATGGAAGATCAGCATTATGAAAACCAGAGAAAAATGTTCTCACCAGCTGGTAATCTTGGCCCGAACTGTCGTTGGCTCTTAGAGTTTCCTTCAAGAAGAATCCTGGTAGAGTACTTGCTAGCATGTCCAAGGTCCTGAGTTTGATCCATAGCACCAAAGAAGAGGAAGAGGAGGAAGAAGAGGAGGAATCCTCAGAGGTCCTAGTCACAGTTAATTTTCTGTTGCATAATAGAATATCTGAGACTTGCTGGTTTATAGAGTCAAAGTTCATTTAGCTTGTGATTCTGTAACCTGGGACATCCTGTCAAGGACTATCACCACCTACTCTAAACTATATAATGCATTTGCAGCTATATGTGGGATAGTTGTATAATGTTAAGGGGAATTATGATCTGGTTATTGTTTTCATTTAGCATGATGTGAGGAGATGAGATTGTGTGTCAAGTTGACAAGATGTGGACTTAGGATGGATAATCTTAGTTGTCAACTTGATTATATCTGTAATCAACTAAAATCCAAGCAGCCGGGCACATCTGGGAGGGATTTTCTTAGTTGGATCATCCGAGCCACACCTTCTGGTGGTAACCCACATAAAAGGACATGGAAGAAGGAAGCTTCTGCTTCTTTGTGTGCTTGCCCTCACTCCGACTGGCAAGTTTGTCTGTTCTATTCCTGAGGCATTCCTTTGCTGGTATTAAAAACCCAATTCTTCAGGATTCCAATGTAGACTGAAGACTGGCAGATCTCTGGGACTCCAGGACCAGAATGAGATGCTGAGATATCCAGTCTTCATGGACTGAACAATTACCTTTCTATCAGGAGATAGCCATTAATGACTACATTTTTTAAAAATAATTTATTTATCTTTATTTTACGTGCATTGGTGTTTTGCCTGCATGTATGTCTGTGTAAGGGTGCAAGATGCCCTGGAACTGAAGTTACAGACAGTTGTGAGCTGCCGTGTGGGTGCTGGGAATTGAACCCAGGTCCTCTGGGAGAGCAGCCAGTGCTCTCACTCACTGAGCCATGTCTCCAGCCCTGATGACTACATTTTAATTATTGCTAACATGTTCTCCATTGTAAAGCCTCTCAAATGATAAGTCCTAAATGTTTTGTCTCTACGTGTGCAATGAACACTGAGAGTTGAAGGAATCCTAGAGGAAAATACTTCAAGACTTAGAAGATGTGAAACAGCTTGTTGATAACAATCCCTTAGTCTGAAAATGACATAGAAAGCAGTGGCCCTGAAATAAATAGGTGGATTCCCAGTCAAGCCATTTCAAATTAAAACCAGCTGGACTTAAGTAAAGGTGTTCTAAAAAGAAGTTGGGCAAGCACTGTGCAACCGGAGACCAGGGGAGATAAAGAGGTGAGGACTAGGTGGGTGGAGCAATGGCTCAGCAGGTAGCAGCACTTTTCTCGTGGAGAGGACCCTGGTTCAGTTCCCAGCATCCATGTAGTGGCTCACAACCACCTCTAACTCTAGATCCTAAGTTTCAAGGGATCCAACACCCTCCTCTGATCTTCATGGGCATCAGGTGCACACATAGTACACATACAGTCAGGTAAAACACTTCGACGCAGACAATGAAATAAAGAAATCCAATAAGAAAAACAATACAAGGAATCAAACATTTGGGGGTGGAGAAAATGGCTCAGTGGTTAAGAACACTGGCTGCTTGTCCATAGGACCCAGGTTTGATTCCCAGCACCCACATAGTGGTTCAAAACCATCTGTAGCTCCAGTTCTAGGGGATCTGACAAGCTCTTCTGGAATCCCTGGGCACCAAGGATACATAAGGTTCACATATATTCAGGCACAGATTTTGTGGGGTTTTTTGTTTGTTTGTTTTTTGAGACAGGGTCTCTCTGTGTAGTCCTGGCTGTCCTGGAGCTTGCTGTGTAGATCAGATTGGCTTCTAACTCAGAGCTCCTTCTTCTTTTGCCTCCCAAGTCCAGGGATTAAAAAGAAGTCAAATACAAGTATAAAATCCCCAACTAGAAATGGCCGACTTTTTGGGCTCTCCATTTGTTTCTAGGACCTCAGATATCACCTTCTAAAACGCCTCATCCCCACAGTACACAACCCTCCCACCACAGCCAGTTTTAGCAGGAGCCTTGTGGTGTGGGACCAACTCCAGCTATCGGGAGAGCAGGCCCATCTGGAGCGGTCTGTCTTTGGGACAGTTCGCCTTGTGCCTAGTTCCTTCTGAAAATGCGATGGTGATCAGAGTAGCTGACTATATAGAGAGAAATCAAACAAACTGAACTAAATTACACCAGGAGGTTTAGCTCCAACGTGTTATTGAAAAGAAGTGTTTATCCATCATCCTTTCATTTGTTTGTTTTAGACAAGGTCTCACCTTGTAGCCCTAGCTGGCCTTGAACTCACTATGTTGGCTAGCTTGGCCTCAAACTCGCAGAGCTCTGCCTGCCTCTGCCTCCTGGGTGCTGGGATTAAAGGCTTGGGCCTCCATACCATACCTACCCATCATTCTTTCTACATGTGTCTGAGCATCTAGTATTTCCAGGCATTGTACTAGGATCAGGAATACAATGTTGAGCAAAGTAACCTCTACCCTCACATAGCTCAGACTGGAGATGGTAAGACATACACTAATTATATAATATCAATACAAACTGCCAAGGAGGCCATAGAGTACCAAAGGGAAGACCGCAGAACCTTAGGACTCAGGTTACCAAATCAAAAGCAAATCAAGGCTTTTCTGGCAGGTAACGTGGCAGTCGGCAAGGAAGGCTGGTGGGAGGTAGTCGGCTGAGAGTGGGGTGGTGCTCTGTGAAGAAGCAGGGGCCGTGCTGAGTGGCAAGGGGGAGTCATCCAAGGAGAAGACATCTAGAAAGGCAGCTAGGGCAGACTCTGGGAAAGCCTTCTAGGCTTCTTAGGCATTGGCGGTTTTACTGTGAGAGCAGCAGGCTGCCTAGGAAGAGAAAGGTTGTTAAGGATGCACGGCTAAGAATTATGCTGGTTGCTGGCAGTGGCATCCAGGGACACCAATCTGGAGACTATGGATCCAATACAACAATGTGACATCCCTCAAACGATCTTGATCCAGAATGGAGAAAGAGGAATAGCTTTGAGAGGTATCATGAGCTTAGAGATGGATGGGCAATGGAGGGTAAAGGAGAGAGAGTATGTGGATGATTACTGGGTATCTAACTGCGCTGAATGGCTGGCATTTAAAGAAGACTCCTGGAAGACTTGTAGATGATGGGTGGGTGTCCTTCCTCATCACATCCAAGTGTTTGGACCCGGAATCTATCTTATGGGCCCCGGGGGAAGCTCTGCCCTACCGACTAAGCTATTTCTTATGTTCCCATAAGACACCCACAAATAAACCCCAGTCTTCTCATCTCTCTCCCCTCTCACGCACTTTCTAGGCACCACGTGTCCAACCCCCATATCTGTTGAACATGCAAACATCCGGGTCAAGAATTACAGTGTGAACTCCAGGGAGAGGTATGTCTGTAATTTTGGTTTCAAACGGAAAGCCGGCACATCCACGCTGACTGAGTGTGTGATAAACAAGAACACAAACAGTGCCCACTGGACAACTCCTAACCTCAAGTGCATCAGTAAGTACCCGGTCCCCACGCTGTCCCCCTGCCTCCTGTCAAGGCTGAACAGAGAGGAGAGATGAAGAGTAGGATCTGTGGGAGCCAAAGAAATCCGTGCTGCCATCTGGGGCTAACTAAACCAGTGGGACACGAAACAACCCCTCCTAGGGTGGGAATACAATGGGTGCTGGGTTCTGTCACCCGATTTCGGTTCTTATTCCTAGCTCTTCCACGTACCCATTTTGTGTCGTTAGGCACATCCCTTAGCTTGCTTCTTGGAACTCTGCTTGGTCACCAGAAAATGAACCTGGTAACAACACTGGTTTGTAGAGTTAAGTGGGAGCTGGTAAGCGTTAACTTTTATTACCACCAGTGTTTGTTTTGGCATGATCGCAGCCAGAGGATTGGCTATGGTCTAGGGTGTGTGCTCAAGCTGCCCTGTGGGATCTCTCACAAGGCAGAGGGCCACAGGAAAACATGTACTGTCCTTGTTTGCCAGAACCAGGAAGTTGGGCAGACCTAACAAACGGAATATCCCTGGCTTACTCGACAGTGTTGTGTCCAGTTAACACTCACGAGCAAAGGTGAAGCTTGTAAGAATCAGCGTTTCTAAAAACTCACCCACGGTCGTGCAAAGGCCAACATTCCTGGGGTAGAAGCCACTTGGTGGTGCTTCCAGGAATCCTAACCCCCATTCTGCTCCCTGGAAAAATGAAAAGTGACCCATAGTCCTCCAGGAGAGTACTGTTCAGACAGGCCCCCACTGCATGTCTAGGACGCAGCTAGCAGCAGCGAGGGCAGGGTCATTCAGGACTTCTGTGGACATGCCCTGCTCCATCTCCTGGGAAGTCCTGGAAGAGCCAGGCTTTCTCTCGGGCTGTCAGATCGCCTTCATCCTCCCCCCACCCCACGCCCTCACCCTCCTCCCACAGCTTCAGGAGGAGTTTAGCAGAGGGAAGGGAAGGAGGGGGTCCTGACACCTGTTTACCTGCATAGTCTGTGAAGGAATGCTACAAGCTGGGGACCTGGCCTTCACAACATGATCCTGGGGGCCACATTCCAGATCCAAACCATAACACTCAGGTTTCCTCAAACCCCTACATCTTTTGGTGAAGGAATCCAGGATGGACAGTTACTCTGAATAGGGGCAAGAAGGTAATGAGGAAAGAAAGAGGCTGCAATTGGGATATTTTAAAATTATTTATTTGGGGAGAGAGCATCACAGTTTGTGTGTGGAGGTCAAATCTGCAGGAGGTGTTTCTCTTCTTCTGCCATGTTGGGCCCAGGGATTTGAGCTCAGGTCTTCGGGCTTGATGGCAAGCATGTTCACCCACTGAGTCCTCAGGTTTTTTTTCTTTTTGAGATATGTGTGTGCTCTTGTTTATGTGTATGTGCATATGTGTTGTATTTGTATACACATACACGTGGGTGGGCAGCGTGCATTCGCATATGTGCCCATGCATGTGAAGGCCAGAGGTCTATCTTAGGATGTCCATCTCTGTCACTCTGCCTTATTTTTGGAGACACCGCTTCTCACTGGACCCAACAGGCACTGATTGGCTAGTCGCTGACTAGCGACCTTTGCAAAGCTGTCTCTCTCTACTCCCTCCCACCAGCACTAAGGTTGCCGATGTGTGCAGTCATGCCCAGATTTTTACAACAGTGTTGGGGATCAGAACTCAGATCCTTATGCTTGCGTGACAGGCACTTCACTGACAGCCATCCCTCTGGCCTTGTAACCAGAATTTCAGAACCCAAAGGCTGGAGTCCAGAATCTTTAAGTCTCATCTGGTCCAAAGGTTTTGCTCCTTGGTCGTTTTCCCGCCAGCAGCTCCCTTTGCAGTTTCCCCAGCTCCTGTTCACTGAATGATACGCTCTCTATATAAGTGGACTCTGCTGAGTGATATCTTATTTTTCCTGTGAGAAACTAGTATGGTAAAATTGAGCTGATAGCACATATATCATTCCCTACAAAAACTATTTGATGACTGACCTGTGGAAAATACTAGAAAAGCAGTTCACAGTCTGTGCATTTGAGTTGGGAAACCGGTATTCATTTCCTGTGTTTCTAGCCTTGTCTCAGGAAGCCAGAAATGGATGTGCACTGATGCACCGATTATTTTTATCTGTAGCTAGTTCTGAAACTGCCCCAGATTCTGCCCTCAAAATCATAAATGCCATGTGACTATCCTCTCTCTAGGAGACCCCTCCCTGGCTCACCAGAGTCCAGTGCTACCTTCCACAGTAGTGACGCCAAAGGCGATGACCCCACAGCCAGGGAGCCCCTCCCCTCCTGAAAAAGGTAGGAATACTGGGAAAAATGTGAAAAACTATCATCTAGGATCCATTCCCCTACCATAGATACCATGGCCCACTGCTGACGATTGCTGCAAACCCAGGCAACAGAACTTGATGTTGATGTCAAGATTCAGAACTTATAGTGACTTAGTTTTTTCAAAGTTACTTGATATCCAGAATTCTTAGTGGCTTAGAATCTACCATTAACATATTAGACCATAGTTAGCTGTAGACACTCACCATTGTCAAGAACTGAGGAGCACCTGAGATTTTATCTCACTCCTTTCTCTTTCTCTTTCTCTTTCTCTCTCTTTCTCTCTCTCTCTCTCTCTCTCTCTCTCTCTCTCTCTCTCTCTCTCTCTTTCTTATTTCTTTCTTCCTTTCTGTTTTCTTTCTTTCTTTCTTTTTTGTTTTGTTTTTTGTTTTGTTTTTCAAGACGGCTTCTCTGGGTAGCCTTGGCTGTCCTGGAACTCACTCTGTAGGCCAGGCTGGCCTGGAACTAAGAGATCTGCCTGCTGGGATTAAAGGCATGTGCCACCTGCCTGGCTCTCATTTGTTTCTTAACCTGTATCAACATTATTCATGGGCTTTCCCACATGGCACAGGGAAGCAGGAGCATCAACTCATTATCTCTCAGGCTCATAGGGGCAGCAGGATAAGTCAGAATAGACCCCCGTATGTATAGCAACTATGCTGTGCCCAGGAAGCCTGGGCTCATAGAACCTTAATGTCTTATAATTGGCAACAAACATGCGTGCCTGTTCTTTGCTCCAAGGTAGGTACTGTCTCTTTCTTCCAAAGCACTTGGTATTATACATGTCCTTGGCAAGACAATCCAAAGAAGGGGTGGGGTGGGGGGTGAATGGGACCCTCTTTTGGCAAGATGTGAAACAGTGTGAGGGACTCATTGGAGACATTTTTGGTGGTGGGTTGAGACAGGTCTCACTATGTAGCTCTGGTTGTCCTGGAACTCACTATATAGACCAGGGTGGCCTCGAACTCACAGAGCTCCGCCTACCTCTGCCTCATGAGTGCTGGGATTAAAGGCATGTGCCACTCTGCCCAGCTTCCCAATCTTCATCATTAGCAATTTAATTTGGATGCTTGTTCTACTTTCTTTTCTGTTGCTGGGTTAAAAAATCCCGACACAAGGCAACTTCAAGGAAAAAGGGTTTGGTTTTTCTTACATTTCCAGGTGATAACCATCCCTGGGAAAGTCACAGTGGCAGGAGCTGGAAGCAGCCAGTCACATCCCAGCCACAGTCAGGAGCAGAGAGACAGGAATGCATGCATGTTCACTCGCACGCCCATGCTTGGCTCAATTTCTCCACTCTTCCGACAGTACAGGAGCCCATGCCTATGGTATGGAGCCATCCACAGTGGATGAGTCTTCCCACATCAATTAATTTCATCAAGACAATCCCGAAGAGACATGCTCACAGGTCAAACCAGTGCAGACAGTTTCTCGTTGAGATTCCCTCCCCTTGGGTCGAGTTAAAGCTAACCATCATACTGCTATAATACAAAAACATTGCATGGACATCACCCCTCTCCCCATCCCAGCCTTCCTTCTTTTCGTCCTTCCTTTCTGACAGGGTCTCTCTATGTATCCCTGGCTGGCCTCAAACTCACAGTCATTTTACCTCAGCCTCCAGGCATGTGCCGCTGAACCCAGCTCACTGTTTTGTACTCCGTTTGAGTGTTAGGTAATCTCCTCAATGTCCTCCTCACCGTTTGTCTCATTGTTAAGAACATTTACGACCCATGCTCTCCACCCTACGATATTCTCGTTTTCTATGAAGTCTTAGTGTCACATCATCCACTTTGTGGTTTCTCCCTGTTCCCTCCTTCCACCCCCAATTATGGGAAGCTCTGTTTTCAATCATTCTGAATTGCTCAATTGGTCACAACTTCCAGTGTGCTGAGTCTCAGCCTTTGATACACAGGAACTCGCTGAAGAACTCTAGTTGGTCTGGGGAAAGATCTGAGGATCAGCAGCTTTGGATGCTTCCCAGGTGGTTCTTAGGCATCCCGGGGTGAGGACTTCGCTTCTAAGGAGGATAGAGAGGTTTGTGAATTTCATGCCATTGCATAGCATAGACGGCTCTAGCTCAAAAAATTAACAATGAAATAAGGCTGGGGCTGTAGCTCATTGGTAGAATGCTTGCCTAACATGCATAAGGCACTAGGTTCAACTTCCTATACTATTAGGAAACAATAATAATAAAATAAAATAAAGGAGGGTCTTCTCTGCTGAATAGTTGCATGTAAACAGAAGAAAGTGGTAGGTACTTGATCCATTTAAGACAGAAGCGATTCCCAAGCTCCTTTGGTATGAATCACACAGTGTTTACTCAAGAGACAAGAATATTCAATTAGTCACTCTTGGTCTTGCCTTTGTGTCCCAAATGCTTGGTTAGATGTTCCTCGCTGAGACAAAAATGTGCAGACACAGCCCATCAGTGGTGATGCATGCCTTTAATTCCAGCACTTGGGGGACAGAAGCAAGCAGATCTCAGTGAGTTCAAGGCCAGCCTGGTCTACAAAGTAAGATCTAAGACAGCTAGGACTGTTATACAGAAAAACTCTGTCTCAAAAAAAAAAAAAAAAAAAAAAACGTGCAGACACAGCCTTGGACACTAACTGGGATGCTCATGGGTGCTCGTATATGAATGATCTGCAGGGCTCATAGTTTGTGGAGGGAGCGATACATCTGAGTAGTACCAATGGACTGAAGGGTATACTCACATCTTATACGGTAGATGGCTAAGAGAGTGTGGGAACAGGACACCATGCTCCTGGAGCACCAAGATGCCAGCCTCCCAGCATGCTTTCCTCAGCCTGCATTTCCCAGGTGTGATATTCGTCACAGTAGAAGACCCATGTTCATTTGAAAGGGAATAGAAAATAGGGAATGGGTAGGCCACTTTAGAGTTTAGGGGCATCCATCTACCAATGATGAACAAGGAAGACAGGTACCGAAACCCAGGCATCCTCATGCCCGCAGGAACTAAATCAGAATCCTCTCCTCACATACTGCCTAGGGCATTCAGGGGACCTGGATTCCTCTTATTTCAAGATGTCATGTCAACATGTCAAACAGAGTCAGGTATGGTGGTACACACCTTTAATCCCAGCACTCAGGAGGCAGGGGCAGGGAGCTGTGTGTGAGTTTGAGGCCATCCTGGTTTACATAACAAGTTCTGGACCAGCCAGGGATACATGATAGACCCTGTCTCAAAAAAAAAAAAAAAAAAAATTTTAAAGGAAAAACTAGCATCCTAGCTGTCTTTCACAAATACAATTCCACCTGCATTTTGGCATCAAGGCTTTGAGAATATAAGATACTTTCTTCGGAAAACAGGCAGATCTGCTCAATCTCTCAAGGGTTTTGTTTTTTTGTTTTGTTTTTAATGCACATAATAAACAAACTCTTTACGAGTTATCAAAAGTCCCACGGACCAGTGGATAGCTATGCCACCTACTTAGAGGACAGTTTGCTGGGAGTAGGCTGGCCAGGACAGGCTCCCTAAAGTGGGTCCCTTGGTTCCAGACACTAGTCTGAATTTTGATGTCTGTCTTGGAATTTCCTGCAGAGCCAGAAGCCTTATCTCCCAAATCAGATACCACACTGGCCACAGAGACAGCTGTTGGGCCAGGCTCCCGGCTGACAGCATCCCAACCAGCTTCTGCAGGAACCACAGGGACAGGCAGTCATGAGTCCTCCCAAGCCCCATCTCTGGCAGCAACAATGACCTTGGAGCCTACAGCCTCCACTTCCCTCAGGATACCAGGTTAGCCCAAGCTCTGCACAAGGACAGGCCAGTTCCCCCACAGACAGCTTCTGAGACCTGGGTTGAGATCTTGCAGGAGGGCCCTGCATGAGCTTTGGACCACTCAGGCTCAAGGCAGAACTGACTGAGTGGTCCCTTCTCCTGCTGCCTACCATTGTGCTTATTTGTCTCTGTGATTCCCCACTGTAGGGATAGCCAGGAAGGAAACCCCACTTCTCAGATGTGACATGGCTTATTGACGTGCATGCCAGAGAATGGCAGGGACATTTGACAGTGTGGAGTGTGGTCTGGGGGGTAGAGAAGCCACTGGCAATTATTTCTCTCTAAGGCATGGCCAATGCTCAGCAGCAAGTTACCCCTGTTTGTTTTCGCTAAGACCGGTTTGGTTATGTCAGCTCCGTGTCCTTCATGTTCTAAAATGGTAGCTAATCTCTCCAGCTTCGTGAGAACCTAGTGCTCTTGGGGCTCCATCCCTGACTCAGCTTTCCTCTCTCCTCTGCAGAGGTTTCTCCAAGCAGTTCCAAAATGACCAAAGGTGAGTATTGTCTTTTGTCTGATGTATTTATAACCAGGGACTATAAAACAGACCCAGCACGCTCATCAGCCTGTTCCAGGCCACTCCAGCACAGTCACCAGCACTATACCTTTGCCTCTCTGAAATGTCTGCATCAGACAATAACTTGTATAATACCCTGTTTATGGAATTTGTCATTGGACATGATTACTTATCATAAGATCAGTAGCTTCTAACTGTCACACTAGTGGTGTACAAGGGAGTTAGTACACCACAAACGAGTTTGGTGGCTCAGCTACTCACAGGTTAGCCCCACCAGGCTCCACTCACACCCAGGGTACATTAGGAAACCACAGGAGCCTGCTGCCGCCACTCAGACAAGGCTATTCCGCCAGAAGCTTCGCAGACCTCACAGGCTGGAGCACTGTGCACTGTCCAGAGAGATAGTCCAGACCGCTCTGTCCAAATGGTTTCTGTTGATAAAAAGATATGGAGCATTACAGTTAGAAGAAAAACAAAGAGGCTGTGCAATCAATGGAGGAGGGAAACAGAAAAGTGATTGTGAAAAGGAGGAAGAGAGACTTTAGAGAAAGAAAAGAGCAGGGGAGAAGGGAGGGCTTGGGCGCAGCTCAGTGACAGTGCACTTGCTTGTCAAGGCCAAGGCCAAGCTTGATCTCCGGGGCCATAAAAAAAGGTGTGGAGTGCAGAGAGCAGGAATCTAATCCTTTAGCCTGGCAAACTTTAAAAGGAACAAAAGGCACTAGAGAGATGGCTCAGTAGTAAAGGGTACTCACTGCTCTTCCAGAGGACCAGAGTTCAGTTCCCAGCACCCCAGACAGGCGGCTCACAACTGCTTGTAACTCCAGCTCCAGGGGATACAACAGCCTTTTCTGGCCTGTGGGTACCTGCATACTTGTATGTATGTACACATAAGTTTGTATGCACACACACACTTTTAAAAGAATAAAATATTCTTTTTCTTTCTTTCTCTTTCTCTCTTTCACTCTCTCTCTCTCTCTCTCTTCCTCCCTCCCTCCCTTCTTCTCTCCTATCTCTCTCTTTTTGAGACAGGGTTTGTCTGTGTAACAGCCCTGGCTGTCCTGGAACTTACTCTATAGACCAGGCTCTCCTCAAACTCACAGAGATCCCCAGCCTTTGCCTCCCAAGTGCAGAGATGAAGGTGTGTGCCACCACTGCCCAGCTCTATTTTCTATGTGTAAGTTTTCCTGCTGGAGAATGGCCCACTGGCTTTTTGGTCCTATTTTACCATCACTAAGTAACATCTGGGAAGCAGATGTAGCTTTAGATATATTAGCAGTTTATTAGTTACAGTGATTTTGTAAATGACCAAATGAAGACAGGCCTGCTGGTAAAGGTCTGTATTCTCAGGTACTCAGGAGGCTGAGGCAGGAGGATTGCAAGCTCAAGGCCAGCCTGGACAACTCAGTGAAACCCTATATCAAAATGAAGCTTGTAAAGAGGACTAGGGATATAACAGCTCAGTAGTAGAGTACTTGCTCAATCCTCAGCACTGCAAAAAGAAAAAAAAAAGTAGATAGATAGGCAGATAGATGTGTGGATAAATAGATAGATGATAGATAGATAGATAGATAGATAGATAGATAGATAGATAGATAGATAGATAGATAGATAGACAGAGATGAAAGCCGGGCAGAGATGGTACACGCCTTTAATCCCAGCACTCGGGAGGCAGAGCCAGGCATATCTAAGTGAGTCCGAGGCCAGGCTGGTCTACAGAGTGAAATCCAGGACAGGCACCAAAGCTACTCAGAGAAACCCTGTCACAAAACAAAAACAAAAAACAAAAGATAGATAGATGATAGATGAAAACAAGACATTTTAGAAAGGCCTTTGAAGAGTACTTTATTGGAAAAACTCACTTAATGACAAGGACATATAAACAAAAACATATTCATGATTTAAGAGAACAACATATAAGAATTAGGCAAACTAGCCGGGCGGTGGTGGCACATGCCTTTAATCCCAGCACTCGGGAGGCAGAAGGTGGATCTCTTTGAGTTCAAGGCCAGCCTGGTCTACAGAGTGAGATCCAGGACAGCCAGGGCTACACAGAGAAACCCTGTCTTGAAAACCCAAAAAAAAAAAAAAAAAAAAAGAAAAGAATTAGGCAAACTAATTTTTCTCTATGACACATAGTACATTAATCTTTCTACATAGTTTTGAATTTTTTGTTTTTCAAATTCTTAATAATTTGCACATGGTCTGAAAATCAAAAATTAAACAGCATGGGTGCATATGCCTGTAATCCCGGCACTCAGAAGGCTAGGGCAGGAGGATTACTGTGAGTTTAAGATCTGTCTGGGTTACATAGTGAGTATCAAGACCATTGTGGCCACATAGTAACACCATACCTCAAGAAATTTAAAACAAAAAACAGTCCAAAGTTAGCACAGAATGAAGAGAATGAAGGTCTTGCCTCTGACTCAAAGCCCTCCTGGAGATAGACAGCAGCAAACTCCTTTGCTTCCTTCTGGTTGGCTGTGTAAAAACAAACGCACACAGGAACAGTGGAAGGATAGGTATTTCACCCTCTTCACTTACAGGCTGTCCTGATTTCCTTTTTGTTGCTGTGATAAAACACGCTAACCAAAACAACTTGGGTAGGAAAGTGTTTATTTGGCTTATACTTCCAGGTCACAGTCCATCACTGAGGGAAGTCAGAGCAGAAACTCAAGCAAGAAGCCAAGGAGAAATGCTCCGTGCTCATTCACTCTCTGGCTCATGCTTTGCTAGCTTTCTTTAAAGTTTCTAAAAATGTTTTTCTAGAAGACTATTTCTTATTATTTTTAAAACTCTCTGTGTGTGTGTGTGTGTGTGTGTGTGTGTGTGTGTGTGTGTGTGTGTGTGTGTGTGTGTGTGTCTGAGGACGCACACATGCATGCACAAGAGGGCAAGTGCTCTGGAAGGCCAGAGGCATCCCAACCTCCTGGAACTAGAGTTGCAGGCAACTGTGAGCCACCTGATGTGATGCGCAGAACCAAACTCAGATCCTCTGAAAGAGCAGTATGTGCTCTTAACTGCTGAACCATCGCTCCAGTCCCATTGGCTAGCTTTCATCTACAGCCAGGACCACCTGACCAGGGTGCTTTACACAATGGTCTCGACCCCCTTCATCAGTTGACAGTCCAAGAAATCCCCCATAGACATGCACACAGGCCACCTGATCTAGGCAATTTCTCAATTAAGGCTTCTCCTCTCATGACTCTAGACGGTATCAAACTGACAATGAACGTTCACCAGGACACTGACATATCTTAGCAATTCTCCATATCTGCACATAAAAACCACCTTCTTCTCTTTAATGGCTACAGAATATTCTACCTCCATATAGACACAATTTATTTAGCCAATTTCATCTTTGGACATGTGATTATTTACTGTCTTGAGTTATATTACCAATAGTAACTAAGTAGAAACTTGGGTGCAATTATACTTAGTGGATGAAAATCGACATGTAAAATTTTCTATATAAAGCTTCGAGCAATTTAGGTTCCAATACTTATTTTTCCAGGTCATGGCTTTCATGACAAAGATAATTCTATGCAAGGGATGGTGAGAAATATAAAGGTTTTTAAATTTTAAAAATCATTTTATGTATAAATAAGGTATTCTTCCTTAAACATAGACATGAAGATGCTGAATTATGAGAGAAGTCAATTGGTTAGTAAAGAAATGAAAATGGGACATTAAAAGTTCTTATTATCTGCTAATAAAGTGCAAATTGAAATTATAACCAGTCTGGTTTTGTAAAAGTATTTGTGACAGTGTCTTCAAAGTTTGCCATTTACACTATCCATCCCAGCCACCCAAGATCTTTGAATACCCCACCATTCATTTGCATAGTGTAGATACTCATTGGCTCCTTGGGCACAGGGTGGGGTGCTTTTTCTTCAAGAATGAGCAATCAGCTAAGCGCATCTCTGTAAAGCAGTATTGACAGTGTTCAACCATAGTGATTGCTTAGTCAATTAACTGATAATCAACCCTCTGTTATTTTGTTTTATTATTTTAGTTTTATAGTAAGGATGGAACAAAGGGCATGCTAGATAGGTACTCTTCACTGAGTTGTATCCTCAGTCTATAATGATTAAAATAAGTTATACAAATGGTTCTCACTTTTATTTTCTTTTAAAATTTTTATTTTTATGTTATATATATATGTACCTGAGTGAATGTTGAAAGTGTACTTTGTGCATACAGGAACCTGCAGAGGTCAAAAGAGGGCATCAGATCCCCTTGGAACTGATTTTAAAAGATATTGGGGTTGGGAAGATGACCCAGTGGGTAAAGGCAATTGCCATGCAATGTAAGGACCTGAACTGCTGTGTGGGTTCTATGAACTGGACCTGGATCCTTGGCAAGAGCAGTATGCACTCTTACTCACTCAGCTACCTCTCCAGCCCCAGCTATCACTATTTTTAAAAGTTGTTCTTGCTTATTTGTTTGTTTGCCTTTCAAGACAGGGTTTCTCTGTCTAGTCCTGGCTGTCCTGGAAGTTGCTCTGTAGACTAGGCTGGCCTCAAACTCACATAGATCATCCACCTGCCTCTGCCTCCAAGTGCTGGGATTAAAAGTGTGTGCCACCACCACCAGCTTAAAAGTTGTTCCTTTTAATTCGACAGAAAACAGCCAATAGCTGATGCTCAATAAATACTGAATGAGTTAGCAAATGAGTACCAGAACTTAAAGACTTGAACATTTTAATAGTGAGGAAATGTGGTTTCGTTGTCTTAATTATCAAATGCTTCATTTGACAGCCTTTCTTGCCAAGGACTTATTCAATTATCCCAGTATCTTCTCTCTGATCTTTACCTAGGTGGTTATTAAAGACTCCTGGTTTTATTTTTAAAAAATCTTCATTATTGGACTGGAGAGATGTCTCAGTCATTAAAGCCTAGGCTCACAACCAAAAATATTACAGTTCGGTTCCCAGCACCCATGGCTGTCTCTCCAGCCAGTTTTAAAAAAAATCTTCATTATTAAGTGTGTGTGTGTGTGTGTGTGTGTGTGTGTGTGTGTGTGTGTGTGTATCACTTGTGGGAGTGGGTTCTCTCCTTCCACCATCTGGCTCCCAGGGATTGAACCCAGGCTGTCAGGGTTCCCAATTGTCACTGAACCCAATGAGCTAGCCTACCAGCCCAAGACTCCTGACTACAGACTCCAAGCCCAGTGTGACACCTGCAATAGCACTTACGGTGCTGGACTGGTTCACTAGGAGTGAAAGGTTACTTTCCAGAATGGTACTGGGCCTGAGTCTTTTCCACATGTGACATGAGTTTGTCGTCATCGACAGGTTCTGTCTGCATTTGATGGGAACCGTCATTCACCTACTTGTCCAGTGAAAACTGAAATCTTTACAAGTGATAGTCCTAAGTTGCTCTGAAATACTGATTTCTGATCTTCACAGATCCTAGGGTTGGGAAGAGGGCTTAGTGGGTAAAAGCAGTTGCCACGCAAGTGTGAGGACCTGAGTTCAACTCTCAGAACCCATGCAAAGCTGGGTATGATAGCTCACATCTGTAATCCCGGTGCTTCTAAGGGGAGATAGGAGGAGGCAGAGATTTAAGACCCCCTACAAGATCTTGGGCCAGCGGCCTGACTTCACAGTAAAGAACAACAAAGAAACCTGTTTCAAACCTGAGGTTGTCCCCCAATCTCCTCACATGTGCCCTCTGGCCTCCCACTGTGGTCCAAGCACACCCATGTACACACACACACACACACACACACAGAGAGAGAGAGAGAGAGAGAGAGAGAGAGAGAGAGAGAGAGAGAATCACCTTAAATTTAATTTATGAAATTTTAAAAGCTAGGCTAGCGCAATCCTTTTTTGGGTATCTGATTTGAATACAATAGTTCTTTTATTTATTTACTTTTCAGTCCTAAGGATAGAACCTAGGGTCTCGCTGCATGATAGACAAGTACTCTAACTACATCCTCAAGTCCTGAGCTCAACTCTTCTTACGAACCTAGGACAGTAAGAGACAAACAAAAAAGCCTCAGCCAGAAGTAAAGAGCAGATGTTCATCTTCCAGCACCTGACGCAGATTCACGGTAGTTTTCCTGCAGGACTGGCCTGGTCTGCCTGGGTCCTGCTAAGGAATTTGTTCCCCCTGTGTTCACACACAGGGATTTCATCAACCTCCATGAATACTGGCCCTGGCTGTCTCTGCTGCCTTTTCCATCTTAGCCCCAACCGACACTGTGGGCTGAAGAGGAAGTGAGGCCAGCGGCTCTCACGGCCTCCTGTACCATAGTCATCGGCTCTCCTCCATCATTTCCTCCCTCCCCTCTCCTTTCTCACATCAAATCTCCATTTCTTCCTTTTCCCTCCAGAAAGGGTGGAGAACTTGCCAGATGATCTGTTAATTCCTTGTCTCAGACATCTGGTTTCAATTTCTTGTCCAACATTGCATGGATGTAGTTGAAAAAGAAACTGGGGTTAAGTCACCAGTTTTGTGCTATCACTGGCCTAGGAGCCTCCTTTCCTGATGATTCTGCAGTTGTTTCTTCTCATTCCAAAAGCAATAGGAAGAGCATTGTGAAAGTAGAACTACTACTTCCTACCACTAATTCCTCTTTTCCAGTAAGTCACTCCTTGGCAGTAAAGGGGTACAAAGCCTACCAGTCAGTGTGAAGACAGTTTACATGCAACACATCCTTCAAAAAAAAATCCAATCTGAGACTTCAAGATATCTTTCATTAATTTATTGTGTTCCCTAATGTTTTTGTAACAATTTTGCCATGATGATTTTTTACTTTCTGTAAAGATGTCTTCTTTCTGTGATTTTACTGCTTCTTATGACTTTAGTGTCGTTTCAAAACTCCGAGGGCAACAAAAAAGAAACAATTTTAGTGAAAGTAAAGATTATCTACAGTCTCATCATGACTTAATATTTTGTACCCAACAGCCATTAGACTCAAGAGTTTTCTGTGCATGTGGTTGCGACTTGTTGGAGATTACTTTGAGTGTATTTCAGCCAGCTTTCCTATTTAGTTTATACTTTTGAGATTTATTTTTATTGCTTTTAATTATATGGAAGGGAGTATGTGCATGTGAGTGCAGGTGCCCACAGAAGCCAGAAGAGGGCATCCAATCCCCTAGAGCCGGGGTTACAGGCAGCTGAGCTGCCCAGTGTGTATGGTGAGAACCGAACTTCAGCCTTCTGTAGAAGCAGTATGTGCTCTTGATTACTGAGCTTCTCTCCAGCCCCAAGAAATGTTGATAATGGCAAGCTGGCTAGAAGGGCATCTGTCCTAGGCAAGAATGGAAATTACCAGCAATTTACCGATTCCTGGCAGTGAATGGCCTCATGGGACTTTCAAGCGGTGCTAGCTTAGTTCTGTTCTTTTTCAGTGGCCATCTCCACATCGGTCCTGGTCCTTCTGGTTGGTGCAGGAGTTGGGGTTTTCCTTGCCTGGTACATCAGATCAAGGTGAGTGGCACAGGAGAGCTGCAGGACCCAATTCTTCCTTTCCACCAGAAAAGAGATTTGCCAGTCAACAAACTGGCTTTTGATGAGCTGACCTAGGTTTCTGATTTCTAGTTTCTGTCTCACACAAAACTGTTTACTTAATCACAGCTTAAAAAGCTGTTTATCCTTTAGAAGATTTTATATGAACCATGGAAGACAGCACTGACCAAGATACATAGGGCCTAAAACTCGAGGGAACTCCAAGACAGGTAGACACACAGACAGAATACAGAGCCTCTGCCTGCTCCTGCTGTCCTCGAGCTCATTACTATATTTGGTTAATGCTAAACGCTAAGAACTGCTTTTAAGGCCTCGTGGCTATCCAGCCACTTTCGTCAGTATCAAGTCTGGTCTAGCCAAGTCCCAGTCTCCTCTCCCCCTCTCTTCCATGCTGTCTGTGCTGGTTTTTAGCAGAGGGTTGGCAGTCTGGTGTGAGAGTGGGATGGCGTGATTTGTTCCAGCAACATTGGTAAACCCCTGGTGGATGGATGGTGAGGTTGAAAATAAGATTAAAGTTCTTGCTATCTGCATATCTGAGCATCCTAGGTTTTCCTAATCTCTGAGCAACACAGATCTCTGAGAGCCAGGCTGGTGTCTGCTAATGTGACACCCTCGATACAGGGCTTGCATGTCCAATAAGAAGTATGTTGGCCGGAGACTGGCCCTGGCCTCTTTTCAAAGCCTGTGAATAAACTATTTTGCAGGCAAGCTTCTCGGCCGCGTAGTGTTGAGATGGAAACCATGGAAGCAGAGCCAATGAGTGTGAGGACCAGCAGCACTGAGGATGACCCAGGAACCTAACCTCACAACCTCCAAAGCCCAGGGAAACCTGCCCCGCTGAGTCTAAAGAGAGGACCTGAAAGCCGAGGCGCTGTCAGCTACGGAGCTCCCGGACCCAGGGAGCTGGGCATCAGGAGAAAGCACATCGTGATCATAAAAGGCCTCCGGAATGATCTGTTTTACTGTGTCTGGGTGTCTCCCATATGCACGCCTGTGTTCTCCAACATCTGGAAGGACACCACCACCCTTCCAGCTGGCTCGGCATCGAGGCCGACTTCCCCAAGTGCAAGCAGCTTGAGCTCTCCTGGGAGACTCTCACAGTCTCCATAAAAGCCTCTAACTTCACTCCAACGTCAACTCAAAATAGTGGACAGTGGTTCTCAATCTGTGGGTCATGACCCCCCTTTGGGGTTGTCAAATGACTCTATCAAAGGGGTCACATATCAGACATCCTGTGTATCAGGTATTTACATTATGATTCATACAGCAGCAAAATTACAGTTGTGAAGTCATCATAAAAATAATTTTATGGTTGGGGGTCACCACAAGATGAGGAATTACACTAAAGAGACACAGCATTAGGAAAGTTGAGAACTGCTGTGGTAGACTCTCTTCCCTGTCCCCGCCCTGACTTACAGTTTACAGAGCTCAGCAACACACCCGAAGCTCCCACTTCTCTCCAGGGCTCCTCTGGCACGGGGGATGTCTATAAAGAAGACCACAGCTGCTGAAGACTTAGCTGCTTTGCACCTATTGGAAAAGAGCAGAGGAAGGCAGAGGAGACATTGAGCCAATAAATCCTTTGGTATAGGATTTGTGACAAAAACTGAACTCAGTGACCTCTTACACATACATATATATATAGACTTATATTTATACTTCCTTTTCTGTTATATCTACACATAGTGTATGATTTATATTTGAAAATGCCTTGTATAGACAAAATAAAATATCTATTTTCGGTACAAAAACATATTAAAGTTATCAACAAAGAGAAATGTTCCACCAAGGAAAAAAGGAGAAAGAGGATTAATAAGATATCTAATGTGATTAAACTCAGGTTTTCTTTCAAAAAAAAGAGGAATGGGAAAGCCCTCGCTTAGAGCTGGCACAGATTACAGCTTTGGCAGGATTTCTAACCAAATTTCATGGTGAGTAGAAGCAATATATTCTAAACAATGGTAAGTCTGAGCTCAGCTAGCATAGGATGCATGCATATTCCTGCTCTCTCTCTCTCTCTCTCTCTCTCTCTCTCTCTCACACACACACACACACACACACACACACACACACACACACACACACACACACACATACACACACACATATGACAACTATTTCTAAAATCATAGGACAAATTCCACCTCTTCGTTCTATTCATTAATTTATTGTTATTATTATTATTAATCTATTGCAGAGCAATGGATAAAAAGAGGGCCTCACCCATGTTAGGCAAGTCATATCCACTGAGTCATATCCCCAATCTCCTACCTCCTAAATTTACAGATAAAAAAGAAATTGTAGCCTGGAGAGGTTGACGTGCCCAGAGTCACATAGTTCAACTACTGCCACCACTGGGACAGAACTGGGGTGGGAAGAGGGGTGGGAGAGGAGTTCCGGTTATGAGTCAGCTGCCAACTGGTCCTCCTCCATGCCCCGGAAAGGGGAACCACCATATGCATTCAGGAGGTGGGTTAAGCACCTGATTCACAAGCTACCATTGCTCACTGACTTCTACCAGTCATCAATTCACGTGGGTTCTTTCATTAAAACTAAAAGAAGCCTTTCCATATAGCTCACTTGGGCTTCCTCACAGCATGGTGGTCTCTGTCTAGTCAGGCTGTTTACATGGTGGCCCACACAAAGTCAAAACTGCCAGTCCCCTTCAAGTAGGTAGGCCAGAAACAGACCTGTATAACTTTGCTAGCTATCTATAACCTTTGCTATGTATTGGTCAAAGCAAGTCACAAACCAGCCCAGATTCAAGGGCAAGGAAATGTCAACAGGGAAAGAAAGCATCCACAGAATCTGTCTTTGGTAACCAGCTGCCATACTTTTGAAGACAGCCAGGGAAGTATAATTTTCCTTTAGTTCTCAGCTCTTAGTCAATGCCAATAAATGTGAGATGAGTGGATGAGAATATAATGATCTGGTATTGAACTAGGTACTGAGACGTCCAGTTTTTCATTTATTTTGTTTTGTTTTGTTTTTGAGAGAGGGTTTCTCTGTGTAGCCTTGACTCTGTAGATCAGGCTGGCCTCAGATTCTCAAAGATCTACCTGGCTCTGCCTCCTGAGTAAAACTGAGATGTCCAGTTTTAATAATTAGTTTGGAATGGAAAGGTACACAGAACTCTGAAGGACTTGAAAATTGTATAGCTCTTAAAACCTTCAGCCTAGGTAATCTTCACTGGCTGCAGATCTAATTTACAGTTCCCTTTTCCAACACTACTTGCCCTTCACCATATTAGCCATAAAACACACACACACACACACACACACACACACACACACACACACACACATTGATGGCCCTTCACCATTTCTATTTTTTTTTTTTAAGGCAGCTCACATCTTTTTTTTTTTTTTTTAAAGATTTATTTATTTATTATGTATACAGAAGAGGGCGCCAGATCTCATTACAGATGGTTGTGAGCCACCATGTGGTTGCTGGGAATTGAACTCAGGACCTCTGGAAGAGCAGTCGGTGCTCTTAACCTCTGAGCCATCTCTCCAGCCCCTCACCATTTCTATTTTGACTTGATGTAGGAATTAAACTCTTTTGCATCTTTTCTAGCTCCCTTTTAGATGCGAGAGAGTAGTGAGAACAGGAAACAAACGACACATGCTTGTAGATTTATTTTATGTGAATGAGTATTGTGTCTGTATGTTATCTGTGCACCACATGTGTACCTGGTAACAGAGGTCAGAAGAGGGCATCCGATCCCTGAACTGGAATTGCTGCTCCTTGTGAGCTGCCCTGTGTGCGCTGGGGATTGAAAGACCCTCTGCAGGTGCAGCCAGTGCTTCTACTGCTGAGGCGCCTCATCACGATCCCCAAGGTTCTAATTGCTCACTCTGCTTTTGCATTTAGGATCTTCACTATTGCCTAAGATTGCCCTGTTCCGGCCTGCAAACATCAAAGAAGGTAGCGCAGATTCTTGAGTCCACATGTTTGCTGTTCCTTAGGTCTGTGCTCCTTTGAGGCAGGCAAGGCTCAGTCCAAACCAACCTTTCACACTCCCTGGCCTGTGTTAGAATTTGGTGTGTGGATACTTTTCTGCGTATTCTAACTCATACTCCGCTGTCTCATGGAAGACTCTGTTATGGGTCTGGAGTCATTCCAAGATTCGCCAGTCTGACTACAAATATATTTTATAAAGAAGAGTCTCTATTCAGATACTGATGCCAGGGCTACACCCAGGACTTGGGATTCCCAAATGTAGCATACAGCCCCATTAGTCAGGGGTTTAAAAAGAAAAAAACAGGCAAGTAGTGGTGGCACACACCTTTTATCCCAGCATTTGGGAGGCAGAGGCAGGTAGATCTCTGAGTCTGAGGCCAGTCGGATCTATAAAGTGAGTTCCAGGACAGCCAGGGCAACATAGGGAAACCTGGTCTCAAAAAATAATTAATTGATTGATTGATTGATTGATTGATTAAAATATAAATAGATAAAAAAATAATAAAGGGAAAGACAAAAAAATGTTATGTTCTGTTTACATGCATCAAGGGCTCAGTTTAGCAGACAGATGTCTTGCAGGTGTCTTGGCTATCTCGAACAAGCAAATTTTGTTTCCAGAAGCAGAAGCAGTGGTACTGACCAGTATCATGCACAAACAAGGACAGGCAATTACAAGAATAGCTCCCAGTGTTTCAAGAAGTTATCTATCCTTGGACAAGTTGGACATACAGATTAGAGGCAATTTTGTTTTATAGGCCTCTTAAGCACAGTAATTAAACTTAAAACATAATACTAGGTGTCACAGAATCCACTTTACTCTTTCCTTCCCTAAGTGCCTGACTATAAATCCTCACAGTCAAAATGTAATAGCCCCTCCTCACCAATTCTGGATGTATTTGAGAGACCCAGTAAAGAAAGCAAAATGGCCGTTCCGAGGGTAAAAAAGACAAAAGTTTATTCCAAACTGCCAAGGCCATCTCTCAGAAAAGCACAGAGAAGCAAGAGGGGGTAAGAATTTTGAGGGTTATAAGAAAAATGGGTATCTGAGATTGGGAGCCTGTGAGCCGGAGGGAGGCTTTGAAGTATGTAACAAGTACTTGTGAGTAGGGCTGAGGGAGCCTGGAGGCTACCATGGACCAACTTGATACTGAGATAGGCACCACAGGCATATGTTAATGGGGGAGCCATATGTCCTTTTCATCAGAGATAAGGGAATTGACTTCTTTCGGCTCTTGGGAACCAATCTCACAGATTCCTGACAGCCAGAAATCCTCCTCCTATAGTCCAGGTTGAGCTCATTTCTTAATATTTGAACTGCCTTTTGGAGTTTGGGGAATTTGAATTTCCTTTTAACCTGACACTGGGGAACCTCCCCATTGTTGAGTACCTTGTTGCCCACTAGTATAAAGGCCAGCTGCTCCCTGGCCTAGGGCACCTGGACTAGGCCCTATCAGAGCACCTCATCTAGCATTCTGGGTTATTGAATATGGAATGAATGAAATACAGCAGAATGTGTCCAGCAATGGCCTTGCTTCCAATGAACTGGCTGGGGACATTTCACTCTATCAGATATGTGTGGTTTAAATGACAATAACCCCCAAAGGGTTATATATTTGAAGGCAGTGCCAAGAGCAGGGTATTGCTGTGACACACTTGACAATGTTTTTTGTTACTGTTTTTGTTTGTTTTGTTGTGCTGAGAAATGTGGAAGACTTTGGGACTTTGGACTAGGAAAGAAGCTGAACGCTATAAGTGAGGCTTAATAGGCCATTATTGTAGGATCTTGGAAGACAGTAATGCTGAAAACAGTATCAAATGTGGAGGTCCAATAGCTCAAGAGGTTTCAGAGGGAAACAATATTAGCAACTGGGCTAGAACCTATTCTTGTGATATTTGGGGGAAGAATATGGTTCCTTTTTGCCCTTGTCCTATTAATCTGCCTGAGGCTGAATTGAGTTTTGGACTAATTTCATTGTCAGATTTCAAGACAGCCTAATATTGACTCTGTCACTTGGTTATTAGTAATCTCTCTTCTGCAGATCTACAAGAAAAAGGAGCAAGCAGAGATCAAAACACAAAATGTACAGTTTGAGGAGAAAAAAGAGCATTGAGTGTTGGAGCCATGGCACGTGATGGAAGACATAAGGAAAAACGAGATTAAGGACATGGTGTCTTTAGGGTGAGAGTCCATTCAGCTAATCCTGCAATTTGTGAAAAGAAGAGGCCTAAGGGATTACCTGCTCCTAAAGAGCAAACCAACCAACCAACCAAAGTTTATGCAAATGTAATTCAGGGGTGGGGACAGGTTCTATCCCAAGCAGGCAGCAGAACCTGGCAGCCTTGGTTGTGCTCTGTCTTTAGAGGCATGGGGGACACAGGAGGAAAGGGGTTGTAGAATCTCCTTCCAAGGCTAAGGAAAGCTCCTGAGGCCAGGCATGAAAGCCCAGAGAGGCCATTTCAGGAAACTGTGGCCGTAACGCCTGAATTGTGTAGGAGCCTTCCCCCCACCCCCAAGATGTTGGAGGTGCCAGAGCTGTGGCAAACCTACTAAGGAGAGCTGCAGACAGGGAGGGGAACCAGCCTAGGAGCGAGAAGGGTGTGGCGGGCAGCAAAGCTGGGAAGATGGAGCCATCTAAGCCCTTCAACATCAGACATGGAGCTGCAGGAGTCAGAGTGTGCCCTGATAGGTTTCGGTCTTGCTTTTGTCCAGTATTTCCTCACTACGTCCCCTTCCCTCCCTTTTGGAATGGTAGCGTATATTCCGTGCCATTGTATGTTGGAAGTAAGTCATTTGCTTTTTGATTTTACGAGGGGTTACAATTAAGAGATTACCTTCAGTCTCGGAAGGGACTCTGGACTTTGAAACTGTTAAGAATGTAAAAGGCTATGGGAAGT